CCCCCCCCCCCTTTTCCCTTCTCCTTTGCTGCCTCCCTGCTGCATTTAACGTGGAATAGGCTGGGAGAAATGGGTTGGGGCAGAGGGGGTCAACACTGCTTCTTTTTATAGCCTCTAGAGTCTAGAACCTTCCTTTTAAACACTGCATTGGTTGTATTGAATAATTCCCATAAAGAGCTCTGGGAGGTAAGAGTGAGTTATGGGGAACTTAGAGCTGTTTCCAGTGTTTCCGGAAACGCCAGCCCTTCTGCCGGGATTACTATGGTTGTGTGGGAAACCTGTTGTCTCATGCTGAGCCCAGGCAGAAGCTGTGAAGAGCTTGAATGTTGCTCAGTAAGCAGGGTATATAGCTTCTAAATGAATTCAGCCAAGCACAGGAACTGTTCAAAATATTGCAACCTTGGTCAACCCATTGGAAAGCAGGGCTGGTGCAAATGGTAGGGGGACTTATAATCTGATAGATAGAGCACCTGCATTAATCTGAAAAATAATCATATTATTTTAAATCTTAGAACACATATACTAGTACTTATGTGAATAGGGGGTTAAGTTCTTCCTAAGTTTCCTTTCCAAGGCCTGTGCGAAGCAACTGAGGAGGTGACTCAGCTGAGAACCCAGCACGCAGAACCAATAAGCATGGTCAGACCGACCCACCAGGAGTCAAAACATCATCTCATCAACATCATCTCATTACCTGATGATTAAGGACAATAGCTGATGTCTGGGGACCCTCAGGGCTGTGCATAGCTGCATTCCATCCCCAGCCTCACCCCAGCCCCTTCCCCTGTATAGGGGGGTGAGGGCATGTACTAGAGGCCCAGTACACAAAATTTGTGCACAGGGTAGTGTCCCTAGTGGCTGCTGGCTCCCAGCCAGGGCCTCCCTTCCTCTGCTGCCAGCTAGGGCCTTCCTTCATTCCGCACCTCCCCCTGGTGGTTAACACACGTCATAGCGAGCAATCTAACTCCCAATTGGTTGAACTCCCGAGGGGACACTTTGCATATTAGGCATATATATATCTATATATCTATATATCG